TTGGCATCAGAAAGCAGCATCCCAATGTTTTATTTTTTCCTTTTACTTGTGTTTTGAGTTTGTGCCTCCTGGGTCCACCTCCCCCCTCACCCCTTCACCCATCACTCCTAGGGGCGTGTAAGCTGGAATCATTGGGGGTTAGTAACGGGACATCGATAAATGTCACTGTGCCCTCTGAATCAGAGTTATTCAGCCAGCACATTTCCTTGCATGCATTTTGTTAACCTGGAGTGTGTATTGTCTTTCTTTCAGCACTCCAGGCTGTTACAGTGAAAAATTTGCAGTTGGTCTGATTGAACGGGACTTACTATCCAAAACTGTATTAACACATACTTTCAAGTGGCGCTTGTGTTTCTCTTACTCAGAAGCACCTCTGTGTGATACTTCTTTGTGACCTTCCCATGTGACTGTCCGTTTCTCTGTCACTTAGGTGCCAACGTAACCATTGATAAGTAAATATCTATCATGCAGAGCGCCGGAGAATCACAGAATTGGCACATACAAATCACACACCTGGGAAGCCCTTGAGATGATAGCTATTTGTGAGTTATGTACCCTGCCTTCTAAAGTTTTAGGGTAGTTTTAGTGAGGCTGCCTGGTTCAAATTCTGACAGAGACTTCATTAGAAGTACCAGGAAGAGTGTGTTATCCACTTCCTCTTCTTAGCCTTTGCTTAGAAATCCCTGTTTTCTTGGAAGGTGGGTTTTTATTTTAAGACCTTGCTGTCCCACAGCCTCCTCCTCATGCCCAGTCATCTGTCTCTAGGCAGCTCAAGCCTCAAGTCCATCTTGCACTGTGCTACATTTGCCTTTTAACACGTTATCTTCCTCCTGCCAGTCCTTGCTCAGCAACCTTCTACCTCTCCATTGTGGGCATGATATTAGCCCTATTTACCTGGCCATCTGAGACTCTCTCTGTTTTGTGCTATCACTTCAGATTGTTATCTTCCTGCTCCATGTATTTTTTTCTTTCTTGTTAAGATTCACTTTGGACTTTCTGAAAGCACTTGTGTGCAATCTGTTTCTCCCTGCCAACCCCCAGACATCATTCTGTGAGTATCTGTATCTGTGACCAGGTCTTTGCTCCTTGTAGAGCACAGTTTTATTGGCTATCCTGTAATCTTCTTGTCATCTTACCTACAGTCTTAGTTATTTTTCTCATTGCTGAGACAAAATACTTGACACCCAAAGTTGTGGCAGAAAGGTTTATTTAGGCTCACAGTTTGTAGAAGGTTAGTCCATAGTCAGGCATCAAGGCAGGTGGCATCAGAAGAGGGGCATCACTGAGGAGAAACAGTCCATGGCAGGGTAGGCAGGAAGCAGCAGCAGCAGCATTCTACTGTTAAGGAACAAGTGACTGTAGTGAGAGTATTATTTGCCAATATTCTGCAAATAATTTTTCCTTATTAGGTTTGTTTGTAGTGATTTTGCCACAGTGAAATATCTAATTTTTAAGGACCTTATACATATTTTTCTCCTTCAATTCACATCTGTTGCCAGTAACATCTTCTCATCCAGGAATATGTGCACATCTGTTCATTGTTGTCAAATGAGGTTGCAAATTTTCACGTCTGTGTTCAATTTGCTGGAGATGGACTTCTTGAGGCATGGCCTGGCCGGTCACCGGAAGTTACTCTTTCCTGTGCAGTGTTGGAGTTGCCTTTCTGCCTCCTGCTTCCCATGTGCATGCTTGAGCACCTCCATTCATAATAGCTGCTGCACTTTTTGGGATGTGCTCCAGCAGGATCTTCCTCACGTTCCCCCCATGCTGTGGAATCACATCTCCCAACCCCCTGTTCTGCAGTTTATTCCTGGCCTGGAGCCTCTCGACAGCTGTTTCCATTTCTCAGACCACCTCAGTGGGTGCTGCTTCCTCCAGGCACTGCATAAGATCAGGATTTGTTTATTTTCAGAATGGGAATGAAGAACGAGGAGGCGAGGACTGCCTGGTCTTCAGAGCCTTGGATCAAGAATCTGTGATTTAAGAGATTTCTCTCTCAGTGGCTAGGCATTTAGAATAAATGGTTTCCCCACCTGGGTTCAGCTGTTTTGGGTTGGAGGGACCCTCGAAGTAGAAAAGTGGGGCACAGGCACCCTTGGCTAGGACTCTGTGAGGTCGACAGTGACCTCGGCCCACAGCAGGGTGCAGGGCGCCAGAATGCTTGCCCGGTCATCCTGGGCATTTCCCAGCCGAGACCTTTCATTCATTCCTTCATTCATTCATTTGCCAAGCTACATCCAGCGCAGCATAGGACCCACTTACGATCAGCAGAGCTGCCTTGTCTCTCTAGAAGATGAGTGGACAAAATCAATGTGCTTTTGGTGAGAGTCTGCTGACCATTGCAGAGCTGTCTCTGATTTAAACCAAACTCTGCTCTGCATTGGTACTCCAAACACATTCGTTGTGAATTTTGTGCTGTTTTTTCCAGTGAGAGGAAAATGGAAGAGTGTTCTTCAGGAGGACTCTGCAAGGCTGCACAAATCCACCCCTCCAGGGCTAGGTGCCCCGAGGCTTGGTCTGCGTCTGGTGCAGCCAGTGATCTGGGCTCCTTCTTCTGTAGTGTAGACGATGTGCTTTTGTTAAGCCACATTTAGAAAACACTCCGTAGTCCTGTTGAGGATGTTTTCTGTTATATTTCTAAACACTTTTTTCTTTTGCTTTCTACACATCTGAGAATAAAGAGATCACTTCATGTAGGTCGTGCCCTCGTCCCTCGGACATTCAGAAAGCCCGGTGGGTCCCCGGGGTGGTGAGTAACTCATGGGGAGTTTCTCACCCTCACTTCTGTGAGAGACTCCCAGACCCACACTTTCCGAATGCTGGCAGAGGACAAGGACGAGGACATTCTCTCTCATTGCCATCTTTAGGGGCAGTTCCTCAGTTTCCCTGTTTGGGATGCGCAGGGTTTGTTAACAAGGCAGGTGCCGGGTTTCTGAGCCCTGCCGGGCCCCAGCTGCTACTGTGAGATGTCTTTGTGTGTCTGGCTGAAGGCACCAGATAGGATATTCCAGCCCCCAGGTGACGTGGGTGCCTTGGACCGTGCACACAGCTGGGCCCCGCAGGGCTGCAGACTGAGCCCCCTTGAGCAGTGGCTGCCGGTAAAAGCACTGGACCTGAGGCTAGTGAGCTTCTGTGGGTGACAGTTCTGTGGACAGTGCTGGAGGACCCAGCCCTTGTCTGGGCCTTGGACATGGTCACCGTGACCTCCTGCCCGGCCTCTCCCAGACTCAGCCTCTGTCCTTGCTGCTTTTACCACATGTCCTTTCGCAGTTGTGCAGCACAGTTAGTGGTATAAGTGTTCTGAATTCTGAGTCCTTCTAGCAAACCTGGGCACCTGAACATATTCTTAGGCCCCCAACTTAGAAGAGCTTTGTATTTTACAAGAATCATTAGAGAAAGGAACTGATTATTCTGTCTCTAATCTGATGCTCTCTTGCTTTTAAAAAGAAAATTCATATTGAATGTTGATCAAGTATGGCATCATTTTTATAGGTGTTTACTTGGTTTTTGTTTTATTCCTGTGGTGGAATAGATTGGCTGATCTTCTAATGTTGTTTTTGTTTTTCCTGACATTACTCAAGCTTGGTATGTTTCATTTTCTTAACATACTGTGGTCTTTGTTCTATGAATGACTTAGTTATAATTCTATTATGAGTGGTTAGCATTTCATCTGTGTCATACAGGGGCAAGTCTTTGTTTTAACTTAAGAACTTAAGCAAGCTTTGTAAGATATGGTACTTCCTGGCTCCTTCAGCAGAGCTCTGCTCCGGGCCTGCCATTTTCTTGCTGAAGCTCCAGTGGTCTTTCTTCGAGGCCCACCTCTGCCTGGAGCTGTGGGGTTTCTGCCTTTTCTTTTTCCTGTGCTTTCAGTTCCGTTTCTGGTGTTCTCAGGTTGCCTTCCAGTAATTGTGCCTCTCCTCTTTTTACTTGGCTCCTTTTTAATGGCTCTTGGCAAAGAGGCTATGTAATTAAGCCTGTTACATAATAAGTTTTGGAATGGAGAATAAACAAGCGTGGAGAGCCTGGGGTCCTATGCTCTGGAGGAAAAGCATGCGGCTCATGTAACAGGTTTTAAATATCCATTTTGGATTTTGAGAGAGAGTTCTCTACCTCTTTAGTTATTAGCTGTTCTGGAGATTTAGGTCATGAAGCTGATCAGTTGGCCGTCCGTCCGTCTGTCCATCCGACTTGCTTAGGGATTCTCTTCATGGAGCAGATACCCTGCTGATCCGAGGCAGGCGAGACACGGTGCACAGGCAATGGCCTCTGCCTGGCAAAGGACGTCAGGGGCTTAAGGAGCACTGTTAGGGAGCCGCGGTGAAGACATTCCTAGTCTTATTCTCTGGGATTTTAAAGCGCTAGTGGTAGGAATGCGGTGCAGAGAGAGAATGTCACAGGCCCGAGGCTGCTGACCTTGGAAGGCCACTGGCCAGGGACCTGGGCGGAGCCCTCCTGCAGCTCAGGTGACTGAGGGTCATAGGCCTGAAACTGGTTCACAAACACCACTTTCCTTCTGGGAGCCCTGGGTTTTGGGGTGCTAGCCAGGGTCGTCTGTGTGCTGGCCCGAGTCTCCCTCAGTCTCTCTAGGCTGGAGGAGCCAGTGCTTCATGGAGAGGTGAGTGGGGTGGAGAGGTGTGTGGGCTCTGGAGCACACAAGGACCCCGGCCCGTGGTGCCCCACCCTTCTGCCATGTCCTGGTCCCTGGAGATGGAGCCGTGCCTCCTTTCTGGGCCGGTGGGCCGCATCTCGCCTGTGCACAGACTGCTGGGCTCTGACGGTCAGTGGTCTTGGGAGCCCACCTGGATGTGAAGCCCACGGTCTCCTGCTCTCTTCCAGCTCTGCAGTGATCTTGTGGCCCCTGGCCATGGCCGGTCCGCGTGGTCACCCTTTGGCAGGGGAGGACAAGGGAGCATCTGGCTTTGCGGCCCTGCAGGCACCGCACCTCATCTCTGGTGTCCAGGTGCCTGCGGTCACGGCCTGCGTCCCTCCTGTCCCTGCAGGTACGAGCGCATCCTCACTGAGCCTGACCCGGTGCCCGCCTATGCCCTGAAGCTGCTCGTGGCCCTGACGGAGCGCAAGCCGGCCTTCACCAGGTACTGACGCTTGAACTCTCTGTCTTACTTCTCCTCTGTAGGTGCATTCTGGGTGTGCTTTGGAAATGTTCAGGAAAGACCAGCATTTGAGCCTCGGAGTAGTAACTTTTTCTGTTTCCTATTTGCAGTAGCTGTTGGTGGTGCTGTGTTGGCTTATGTGGTCACATTCTTGAGCCCTTAGTTGAGTTTGTATCGTGTGCAATGCATGATCCTAAAACGATAAATTCTTTAAGGGGGAAAAATGAATGCGCATTGTTTAAAAATCTTTATTTGTACCTTACTTTCCACTGAACATGTAATTTAAATCTCAGTATACTATTTTGTTGGTTGCTGCCATTTTATTGGTTGCACACTATTTAAATATGATGCTCATCCTTCTTGCAGGTGCTGAGTGTGGTGGCCCTGCACACTTGCCAAGAACAGTTTGCTGAGAGCACCTGGGTGCCACCAGGGGAAGCCAGGGAGGAGAGTCCCGGGGGAATGTCCGCCCAGGGGCCCTCCCTCATAGTGACCAGCTGGTCTTCAGGCACAGGTCTCGGGTCTACAGACTGCTGCTGACCTGGGGAACAGAAAGCTGTGTGGGTGTGGAGAGGCCCCAGCCAGGCCCCTGGTGGCCGTGTGCACAGTGGGCTCCTTCCTTGGTCCCACCCGACCCAAGGTGGCCTGGGAACGTCCCCTAGTCACCCAGGGTGCCTGGCGGGGGCGGGGACAGAACTGCTACTCCTCGTGCTGATCCGAAGCTCTGTTTCCCTGGCATCTTAGCACCTTGCAGAGATCCCAGAGTCTTTCAGATTTAGCTTGCAGAAGGCACTGTCCTCTCTTCCTGAGGGGCAGGTTTAGTGCTGAGAGGCTGTTGGTGTTAGAAATGGAATACAGATAAATGGAGGTCGTCTTTCCCTACCTCAGTGTTGCAAACTAGTGTTGTGTGCTGACTTACCTTTTCATGAGTTTGAACAGATTGCTTTTACTTTCTCTCTCTCTCTCTCTCGCCTTCCCTCCACTTGCACTCATCTGTCCATCCTTCCTTTCTTGTAGTACTGGGATTGAAAGCAGGTACTCTACCACTAAATTGCCCAACTTGCAGTCCTCCTGACTCAGTCTCCGTAAACACCAGAATTATAGCTGTGCATCACTTATTTATTTTTGAGACAGGGTCTCACTGTGTAGTTCAGACTGGCCTTGAATGTACTATGTAGCACCTGGAGCTCACAGCGGTCCTCCTGCCTCAGCTTCCTGAGTGCTGGGATTACAGCTTGCACCACCCTGCCCAGCCCAGCTGTGTTTATTTTTTTTAATGTTGACTTTAGCTCACTCCTGTGGTGTGTTTTCTAGACTCTTTTTTTGCCAGTTGTATTAAATTTAGCTGATTTCCTCCCACGGGTGGGGTGGAGAACCCTGGAGAAGTAGAAAAAGAGGGGCTGACCTCTAAAACAGTTTTATCAGAAAAGGGGTATATGCTGGTTAATGTGAAGTATGAAGAAAAGGGCTAAAGGTGTAGGGAAAGTGGGAAGGGTAGGAGAAAGGTAATAAGGGAAAGAAAAAAATAGGAGAAAATGAAAAAATGGAAATAAAGTGTTTGTAAATGGGGAGGGGAGGAGGGGGTGAAGGGAGGGAAGGGACAAGGGGAAAAAATGACAACCAAGACCTGTCATGTGGAGGTACAGGATCCCGATAATGAATGTAACTGTGCTGTATCCCTAAAATGTACCAATAAACTCAATGAGAAAAAACAAGAGGCTGTAGACTAGGCGTGGAAGTTAATGTACTCTAATCTTTTTCTGAGAAGGCTTTATACACAGAGTTCAATAGATTGATTTTATAATTTTTGTTTTAAATGAGCAAGTACTATCGGCATAGATCATCTTTGCCTTAACCCCTAACAGTAACATCACGGGGTCTGCCGGCTTCCCCTGGCCTCCCCACCTCCCTTCCCATGGCCTCACAGGCCCTTGCATTGGGGTCATAGCAGTTATTTTGGAGTGAGTCTTTCCTGAACATCTCACTTCTTAAACTCGGTGCATATACTGGATAGCTGTGCTTTGTAGTGTGTGCGTGTGAGTCTTTATTCTTACCCTTGCCTAACTGTTGCTGAGCCATTAGGGATCTTACTTTATTTTACATCACCCAATGACCGATGATACTGAATATCTTTTAATGTTATTCACTGCATCTCGTTACAGCATCAGAGCCGAGAGGCCATTGGCGCTCCCTCTGAGATGATGTTCTGCAGAAAAATTCCAGGTGCAGGAAGATTTCCTTTAGGCACATCATTTTTAAAATGGTTCTGTTTTCTATAATTTATGTAATTTTATACAAATATAGAATTAAGCTCCAGTATAGCCACAATGTAGAAAACTCTGACAGTTTAAAAGGGCAACATGAATGCTGCACACCAACCAGTGCACGGAGATGCCCGCACACTCTGTGATGCAGAATGGGCCGTGCGCCTTCTCTCCCCGGGCGGGGCTCTCCTGCTGGGTCCTGCTCCGACTCCCCTTCCGCAGAGACAGGCGTAGGCCGACCCTGTCCCCAAGGTTTGGGCTGAGCCTGGAGTGGGCTCCACACCGTGCAGTGGGCTCTGGGCCGTGGGCATGTGCTGAAGAATCAGGTCCGGGGCTGTCTGCATTTCCCTGACTGGGGTTTAAAGATGCATCTGGAGCGGAACCTCTTTACCTTGGAAAGAGAATAGCATAAGGAGAAGCGAGTGGAGAGGTCTCCTGCTTCTGTCCCATCCTGTTGCGGCCTCCTCTTCCTCACGTACCCTGTGCTGCATTCACCTGCGACCTAACGTGAGCTGTATGAACATGCATTTTCTCTTTTCTTCCTTTTAACAGAGATAGAGTATTGAGTATACGATTTTTGCCCTTGATTTTTTCTTTTTTAACTTAATGGTATATTTCCAGTGGTAACCATTATAATACCAGAATATTTCTGTGTGTCATACTGCACGTTACCTAGGATATACTGTAACAGTTCAAAGGGGGCAACATGAATGTTGAATAAACAGGATTACCACGTATCTTCTCTTCCCCTCAATGTCATAATTTATCTGTTAGCAGCTACAGGACAGACCTATGCCATTTCTAACCTTGTGATACTGCAAAGGACGAGCGGTCGTGTGTCCTGATCTCTCTGTGCACTCCGAAGGGATGGCTGTCAGCAGTGGTGTATGTGCTGTTCACAGCCAGTTGGGCACCACTTCCGGACACTGACAGCTTGTGGAGGGTGCGGCACGTGTCCTCTGTGTCCCTCTTGGACAGACATTTAGATTGCATTTTCTGCATATCAGTGTGGCTGATCCCTTTCAGAGAACATTTGTTTTTTCCCCGAATCTTTTACTGTTGAAAGCGAAGCTCTCATTAACGAAGGCCCTTGGTCCTGTGTGAATGTGTGCATGTGCTGCGCACCCGGGCGTGGGTTTGCTTCGTCAGAGGTAAGCGCGTGGTCCAGCTTATCTATGCGGTGGCGTGGCCTGGGACCGTCATGAATTCCAAGTCCCCGACTCTACCCAGACTGACAAAGTCTAGCTTGTGGGTCTGGACAGTGGCTGTCGAAGCTCCCCGGCCAATTCAGTGAGCCCGTGAGCCTCAGAGCCTCTGCCGGAGCATTGTAATTTGAAAGGTGTTGGTTGATTGCCCCCAGTCTGAGCCGTGCCACTTTGCTCTCTACCGGTTGTGGGAGCATGGTGCTCAGTGTGAGCCCTCGATGGCATTTATGGTGTGTGATATTGGGCTTTCTTTTCAGGTGAATTGAGGAGCAGGTGGCAGTTCAGGAGATTGAACCCAGGGTCTTCATTCTTAGTTTAATCCCCAGCCCTTTTTACATTTCTTTTCTTTTTTCTTTTCTTTTTTTTTTTTTTTTTTTTTTTTTTTTTGATATGCGATCTTTTCATTTCACTCAGTGGTGTAGCCTGGGGTCCAACTGGTGATCCTCCTGCCTCAGCCTCCTGAGTGTTGGGATTGCAGGTGTGCACTACCACACCTGGCTGGCCTTTGACATTCTGATGTGTGCAAATTGAGTCATATATTAATTTCTAGTTTTATTGCATGGTGGTCATCAGATACTTTTTCATGTTTTATTTACCTATATCCAATATGTGGTTAGTTTTTATAAGTGTTCTGTTTATTTGCTTACTGCACCACACAAACGCAGGCCTGGTTCTGAGGCTGCCTGACTTTGATGTGTAAAGTGGTCATATGTTCAGGAACCATGACTTGGTAGCAGCAATTTTAGGTAAGATATTGACTGTAGATGTTTGGCAGAGGTTGATGCCTAATTGTTTCATGCAGTTTTCTAGTAACATAAAATAACCAGGAGTTGCTGGTTATGGATTTAACCTGTCGCTTGGCTCCTCTGTTAGCATCCTGTTCTTAGAAGGGTGTGCATTGTAGGTTAGCTCATGCACACTGGGTTAGAGACCCAGACGGCAGCCTGTGACGTTACCCCTGTGTCCACTGGAGCTCAGTGTGGATAAAGAAACCCTGAAAGCCCAGACAGGGCACCCTGGAGGACTTTGTTCCCCTCAGAGAGACTCAAGCGTGTGGTTCAGTCTGTGCTGGACGACACTGTGCTTCGGTGTCCCCAGGGTGCCTTATTCTTCAGGGCAGCAGCGATGGGGAGCTGGACCTGGGGAGACACTGGGGTTACAGATGCAGGGCCCTCCCGGGTGGACCCACCATTTCCATGGGAGCGGCGTGCTTGCTGCCTGACCACAGTAGGAAGTGGCACCAGCTCTTGCCCCATGTGGCCTCAGGTGTACTTCCTTCCTTAGAGATCACCTGATGTCAGCTGCTCTGTTACAGAGGCAGAAAGTGCACGGAGACAGGGGCGAGTCTGCCGCCCTGGGGAATCTGGTTCATCACTGAGTTCATAGCAGAAATTCCTTGCCAAAATAGTGCGGTGTGCCACCAGAAGGGTTGTGTTACCGCCCGAGCCCTGCCCTTGTCTCCCCGTAATTTTATGGGAGGTTGCCCCAAGCCCTTCCTCTCTGAGAGAGCAGT